GCATGCGTGGTACTGTAAAAATGCACGCAGCTGGTTGTCCTGTCCTGCGTCGAATAGTCTTTCTTGGACGATCGATTCCCGCGCCTGGCAAACTTTTATTGTGGTGGAATTTAATCGGGCCGCAACGATCAAACAGGGGGAGTTTCCCAACCGGGGCGCCGCGGCCCCGGTTTGCGCACACGTAGGGTAGATTAGACCCTGCCGGGTACCGATTTGGTATTACCGGACCGCTACCAGAGGTACGTTCCGGCATACCCTCCGCGGGAGTGGCTCGCCGGCGGCACGGCGGCGGCCGGGACATAGACCCTCTCAGCCTTTTTAGTATGCTGTATGGGCCATGGCTTATGTATAATAATTAATTGTAACCATACTAGAAGCCGAGCAGGCTGAGTCTTACGACTGTTTTCACGGTAGACCCTTTCTTGCCACGTAGTGAGAACGAGAAGGTAACTTGTGACTACACAGACTGCCAAAGATGGACAGTACCTGAAAATGAAATCCACGAATTCCTTAAAGAATCGGTGCGATCATCGAACAGCGTTCGGAGATGCACTTGAAAATATTGAAAACTATCCTCTTAGGCAAAGGGGAAGCGTGAGCTGATGGGGTTTTGATCCATTTTTGCAAGCATACCGCATTGTGCCTTAAACTTACAAGGGTTAGCGATAGTTCTTTCAGCTGCCAACCTGGTGTGTATATTCCGGTGAATCAATGCATGAATTCAATTATAAATTACTGCTGATTACCATAATTCTGAAAATGAAATTTTTAGAAGTTTTATCTAATTAGTGTTAATATCTTTATACACGCTCTGAGAAAGAATGTGAATTGATATTCTAACTGTTGGCACAACTGCGCAACGTTTGTTCATGGACCAGCATTTATTGTCGGAGCATGTATCAATTGCTGTCACCACCACCAATTAATTGCCACACCATTGCCCGGCCGAATGGTTTCACTATGCATATGTGGCAGTCTCTCCACCAATACACTGTCCACGGTCCCGACTGTCACCCTAATATATGTTGTCGGTGGCAACCCTTGGCTTTCAATCGCGCGCGTCACGACGTTTCACTAGCTCCTACTAGCCAGTATGTTCCAGATGAGGACGACGATGATGCGCGACATCCCGAGTGACGTTTGCATGCTCTTGGAGGATGAGGAGGACTCATTAGCAATTCGACACTGTACACGCCGGCGACAAGCGACGACCCGCTGCCGAGCAACGCCATCTTCTGTCTCGGCGAGCTTAATTGATGTTGCCGCGGCGACGGCTGCGGCCGATGCAGCCTTCCTCAAGGAACGACGTCCTTACAGCTGTCGTGCTGCCGGCAGCTGAGCGCAGATGATTCACGAAGAAGAAGGAGAATGAGAGCTGGTGGGGGCGGAGGCGGGAAGCGCGTGCCAGCGGGGGACACAGAGGCGGGGAAGCAGGAGCAGAAACAGATCGAGCACGAGCAGTGGAGGCGCTACGAATGAAAGCCAGGAGACGAGAGTGAGGCGCCTAGAATGAGAAGCAGAGCACCCGAGGAGTGAGTGCGCTACGAATGAGACGCCAGAGCACGAGAGTGAAGGGCGCCTAGAACTGAGAAGCCACGAGCACGACGGATTCTTGAATGCTCAACAAGAGACAGAGAATGCAGAGAATCAACACTGAGCAAACCAAATCACAAACATGGCCTGAATATGCCGGCAAGAGGACATGCAAGCATGACCCAACAGAAGCCAAAAGCAGAAGGTGAAGACGAAGGAAAATATGTGGCAGAAAAAAGAATTTTGCAGTAACAAACCGAATCGGCAAGAAAGAAGCCAGCTCTGTTGCTACCAAAAAACAACGAGGAGAAGCAGTCTGGATGCAAAGAGAGGAAGCAGCGAGTTGTCCGGCAACGGACGTCCCCATCACCGGAGGTCGCCTACCTTTGATCGAGAAGCACCTCTGGCATCGCCCTGCGTTAGGCAGAAGTCGCCAGATTGTGATGGAGACGAGGAATTCTGCGGAAGGAAGGGACTTACAGGAACTCGATGAAGAGTCAGGGAGAGGAAGAGAGAAGCTTTAAGTCAAGGCCGACGGCCGTGAGCGGATGTGGTAGTTTACTGCCAATGACCTATGAGGATCTACGTCACCAACAAATTACGGTACAAATACTTACATAGTATTCACAGAGTCAGGTAATAATGAGAATAGACATAATAATTATGATTAATGGTTATTAATAATAGTAATAATAATAATAATAATAATAATCGTCCTTGTCTTCGTTCTCCACTAACTAATCAGTAAATGATAAACTGATTTATTGTGGTAATCATGTAACCGTCACCCATGAGTAGTTCTGGTTTACCGTTACAATGATTGTATGTGCAAGAAATATTCAACGATGGACTGCATGTTCTGCGCTCGAGCTGTACTTGTTCAATTAGGTACATCGAATGTTACTATAAAACAGCCTTCAACTCAGTACTTGCCCTCCTCGGGTGTATTAACATGGATGCTGGGTCACGTTGTTCATGTGTCGATCAGCCCAGCTAACTACTTCTATGAACTTAAATGTAGGTATCTCAATTGTTGCAATATCTGTTAATTTCCGTTTTAACAGCTTGGAACAAAACATGGAAAGAGCATTGACCAATGCGATATGTTGATGAGTCGACACTCTTCAAAGGGCAACTGAGGCATTTTCATAAAGCATAATCAGTTGCCAAGATTCACTAATTCTTATGAGTGCAGGTACAGCTGCGATACTTACTCAGTCATTGTGTAGTCATCGACTGCATCGAATTATCAAGTAAACTTGCATTCGTCGCTTTGGCTCGGATTGACAATAGAATGATGTGCAAAGAAAGCATTGCATAACCATTCTCGATAGTTTACTGAAACAATTGGTAGCTTTTGATAGTTTTACTTAGCGAGCCAGAGAGCAGGACATTTCATAGCAAATGACGGTGACGGAAGAGACTCGGGGTTCAATGGGTTTTTCAATTACGTAAGTAGTTCATCAATAATCATTTCTAACTATCAGAACACTATGCAAAATTAAGGGTTGCCCCTAAATACTCTCTTCTCATAAATATTGATCTTTTACCCTTTCATACTATTACAATCTATATAGAAACTGACTATTAATACTTACAAATACATTAAACTTTCATACCACCAATGACTGTTAATCGGGGTTTATGTAAATCACAATATGAATAATTAATGCTATGTCGTGTTATTAATGTACCCTTCTTATGTTAAATCATATAGCTCCATCTGACATAGTCAGATGCAGCTTGTCTCGATTATGATCGTCCGCTCCGCTTCCGGTCGTCCGTCGCTACGGTCGTCACGATCCGTTTCCGCGTCGGATCGCGTCACCGTCGGTCGTCCGATCCGTCGGTCGTCGATCCGTCCGTAACAGCCCTCGCCGGCAACACTTTCTCAACGCTCGACGTAACCGGGTCACGATATTCGGGGCGTGTGGGGGGATCCGTCAACGGAGTTGCGGATGTTGAAAGCTGGGGTCAAGGTGTTCAAAAGCGTCAAGAGGATGTAAAGAAGGCGGCGACACATTCACTCCTTAACTTAAGGTATCAGGGAGAAATGCAGAATTGCGACGCACAAATCTAAACGGGTCGACCTGGCTCGTGATAGTCGGATGTTATAGCATTCATGGTAGGAAAGCCATCACTGTTGCCGAATTGGACGTCAAGGTCAAACGGTCAATGAGCACAGGGGCAGATTTTAAGACATTTTCTGCAGGCGACTATGCCGTCTGCGCGACGCGATTGAAACAACTTTTTTGTTTTCAGGCGGTACCTTGCATTTTTATGGCTTATTCGAAAGGACCATGAAAATGTCCCTTTCACGTGCCTGCACATGCGAAGAGGTAGTGTCGATAACTTTATTGGAACCCTCAAGAGGAGGGTTAAACATGGATTGGTTTGACTGTTAACAAAGGTCGTGAACTGCTTTTGTATTAGGCCCCCATTCCCTCCCTCTTCCCCCTCCCCCCTCTACCCCCACCCCTTCCCCCACCCTCTCCTCCTCCATCTGCGATAGTGGGCGTGTCCTAACAATGATGTGTACGCAACTGCGTGTCTGCATATCTGCGCCTAACAAATGTGGTACTACGCACGACTGAAATTTTACGTTTATAATCGTAGCAACAGACCTCAGATGAGCCCAGACGCTCTGCGGCTCTTGTTTTATATAATCGTAATAAATTCTATCACTGCAGGTCAACACTCCTTCCACTGTTTTGTTTAATAGTGTGCATAAATAAAACTGAGCTGTTGTGGTTTTCAGGTCTGTGATAAGGTCTTTTTTGGGAACAGAAACTTCCTGGAGCATCTTGGACATAACATTCATTTACAGAATGCTGCTGCAAACACTGGTAATGATGTGTTACGTGTGAATTAATAACTTCCTTAACATAATTCTTTCCTAAATTTCAGCCTGCAATTGTGAAAGATGGCAAGTAAGCTCTAAATTCCACTTGGTTGATCTTTCAGTGGTTTCATGACCATGGCTTTATGTTTCAGAGACTCACCAGGCATATATTTTACACCAGCCATCTGAGATCCAAGACATTGTGGATGAGATCACTAACGATTACCTAATCGGTAAGAAATGCAGCACATGTTGTGATCGTACACAGTTTCCTTCGATGCAGCCGAACACAGAAATGAACCTGCTACCAACATGGACTTGTGCATCCCACTGAAGCAAAATACTATTATTATTATTATTATTATTAAATCTGTATTGCATGTAATTCAAATACAAATACATGTACTGAAGACAGTCCTTTACATGGAGAAAAAAATCTGATAAATGCAATAGTGTTGAGCAGTTAAAATAATCAAATTTCTGAGTGATACATTACAAAACAGCGCTATACAACATGTTGAAAAAATGGTTTTTTTAATTAAAAAAAATTATGTATATCTTAATCTTGCAAAAGTATTGAATGTGTATCCATTTGAATCCTGTTCAGTCTGTCATATAATATACATAGGCAGGGTTCCCCCTACTATTTTTAGGAGGCATGTGGTTTATAGACAGTTGGGGGAGGGCCCAGGATGGGCTGTACAAATTGGAGTCAATTACGTATATAGTAAGTGGCCCCTATACACAGGTAAACGAGATCAGTTCAGAGAAGTATACATCAAGCTGTGAAAACACATCGTGTCTGTTTCAGGATTGTCCAAAGTAAACGTAGCTGAATATATGGCATGTCGATTAGGCAATTAGGCGTGTCAGCAGTTTTATGAGATGTTGCAAGTTAGCTTAAGCTTTGATGCGTTAAAGGCCTGGCGAAAACCCTGCTAGGTTATCAAAGGGTGTTGTGAAAGTAACTGTAAAATTTCGGATAAACTCAGTGTTGGAATATAAGAATTCGTGACTACAATCTGAGGCTGCCCGAGATATCTCATAGCTTTTCGAGTGTATATACAATAAGCAGGGCTAGTTGATTGCTTTCCTCCCAATCTTAATGAAATAATTAATGAAAATTAATTAAGATTAATCTAATGATTAATCATAATTAATAGGTAGGACTCTTGCCAAGCAGCACTGCTACAGGAGTGTTTAAAAAAGAAGCTAGTCTAGTTTGAGTAACCATACGATAAAACATCAGGAGGTCGGGGTCATCTTACTCTGGTGGATTCCTTAATTGACCTCCGATTTCATCGTTGAATTGTCGCTCGCAGGTCTGGAGCACATTCTTTTTGTGACAAAGCCGGTACTAGAGTGGCCGCCGCACATGGAGTGCCTGGCCTGCAAGTCGGGCTTCCGTCCAATAGATCTGCCCAACCACGTCTGCACGACGCACCACAGGACCAACATTATCGTGAGTGTCGGTGCAATCACATCCACGTCGCGTGCCTCTGTCCGGTTTCTGTGAACCCTTGTCTGTGTGAGGTTTAAGCCATGCAACACTGTTACACTTTGCCTCAACCGTGACAATTGTGCGTGAGGTTGCAGCAATGCAACACTGTTACACCTTGCCTCAACCGTGACAATTGTGCGTGAGGTTCCAGCAATGCCAGACTGTTACACCTTGCTTCAACCGTGACAAGTGTGTGTGAGGTTCCAGCAATGCCAGACTGTTACACCTTGCCTCAACCGTGACAATTGTGCATGTGACAGAGGGTTACCTAGTTGTTTGGTTCATAGCTGTTGCTTTGTTTTGTGCGTAACGTCATTGTGAGTGGTGCTGCCTGACCATCAGCTGTGTACGCTGGTCTCTCTTCTATCATGATGCAAGGTCTCGCAGCTTGGGAGACCTCATAGTGATTTTACCCCAGTGAACACGTGTGTAAGAAAGAACTGAGCAATGCAATGCTGTTGTATCTCGAAGGTATTACCTGAGCATGCAGTAATGTGTCACATAGTTGTTAGGTTGTGTTATTCATTCGGCTATTACTGGTGGCTGTTGGCATCTTAAACAAGGTATACATAACATAGTTATAGTTTATTGCTATCTGTACAGCTTCATGGTCTCATACAATAATCCAGTCAACTCTCATTGGGGCAGGGCTGTCGACACGTGTGATATGAAGACCAGATGCAGGCCTGCACATCTCATATGTCATGAACACAGCAGCTTAATCATGGGCGATGATGGGTCACAGCATTTTTTCTGGCATCCCAGTATATAATGATGATGATACGATAATCTAAATGTAACTGAATCAGGATTGTGTGTATCCATTGCAGGAGTTCTTCTATCCTGAGTATTTTGTGAAGCTGAAGGAAGCCATGTTCACGCCTGAAGCAGCGAGGGACCTGGCCAAGCAGATAGAGGAGAAGCACGGGCGGCAGAAGCTCAAACTCAAGGTCAGCAAATAAACCGCTTCTTGTAGACCCTTCGACATCTCATCCAACTCTAGATATAATAAGTCTCTAATTATAACTACTCTTATTTATTATTCTAAGATAAGTTTATAGAGATGATTGACTGTTCGTATCTTCGACATCTGATGGTTTCTCTGTCATTAACAGATCGTTATGGACACGCTGGATAGTATTCTGGAGAGGGGAAGGAGCGGCGAATTCTACACCTATGAGAAGTATCGCAAGAACGCGCTCTACAGAGGTTCCACGCCTGAGCGTTCGGTCATATTTGGTAGGTTGAGTTTTGTCACAGTCTCCACGCACTCGCGTGACAGGGGTGATGCTTAGTTGTGGAAATTTACAACAAGGTTCAAGATGTCTATATATAAGCTGCAAGATATATAATATGAGCTCTGCACATGCATCGTCATCTTCATCGCCACCTAAAATAACCCCTAACCCTAACTGAAGTGTTAATCGTAACTTAATCCTAGCCCTTAAACACTGGGCCTAATCTAACCATAAGCTAATCTTAGCCCAATCACGTATGCGTGGTGGTGCTAAAGTCAGGCGTCAGAATATTCCTCCCATCTGCAGATATTCACGGATTTGGCAGGCCCCTGAGTTGGCTCTCTAAAACGTTGATGAGAAAATTTGACAGAGATGACCACTTAAGATACTTGGGTTAATTTTTTGATGCTAGAGAAAGCTACTTCTAACTCTCATTAGGATCGTAAACATCACATTTAAAAATAAAAACAATTAAAAATGAGCAGTAAGATATCGAATTATGAAACTTGGATAAAAGTTCTCTCAAGTATATTTTGACAACATTATTTATCCATAAACTGAGGGGACTGGCAGATTTTAAATGCTTGGAAATAGAACTGAATATATCTCAGAGCATCTTCCTACAGCTTCTGGGGTCTTAGGCGGATCTCAGACACCCTGCCTAGAGGGAAATGCCTCTCTGTGAGTAGCAGGTTCTCCAAAAAGTTTGATTTTCTGTTTCCATACTTGTTAAGTAGACTTGACCTCTGTGTTCACAGGTATTCATCAATGTATAGTGTAGCGTAGCTGGCCATCCCCACCTACAATGTACGCAACAGCAACATCAGACAGATATGACTGTGTGTATGGATCTTCTTGTATCATCCCTTCTTGATCTCGGCATTCCGCATGCATCCAATCATTCACTCGCTGCATGACACATTCCACCCACTTGCTGTGACAGATTCTATCATTCACTTGCCATTACATCCGATCATTCGCTAGCTGTAACATCTGATCATTCACTTGCTGTGACACATTCCATTATTTGCTTGCCATGACGTCCGATAATTCACTTGTCGTGACATTCGATCATTCACTTGCTGTGACATCCGATCGTTCACTTGCCATGACATGTGATCATTCGCTTGCAGTGACATTCAATCATTCACTGGCCATGACATCCGATCATTCACTTGCTGTGACATTTGATCATTCCTTGGCCGTGACATCTCGATCATGTCACTGCCACTGACATGGTGATCATCCCCGTCTGCTGTGACATCCGAGCATTTCACTTGCCATGACATCCAATCATTCACTTGCCATGACATCCGATCATTCACTTGCAGTGACATCCGTTCTTTCACTTGCCATGACATCCGATCATTCACTTGCCATGATATCCGATCATTCACATGCTGTGGCATATTCCATCATTTGCTTGCTGTGACATATTCCATCATTCACTTGCTGTGACATCTGATCATTCACTTGCAGTGACATCCGTTCTTTCACTTGCCATGACATCCGATTGGCTTTCACTGGCCGTCCGACATCCGAGTGTCATTCACATCGGCCGTGACATTCCGATATTCACTTGCGCGTGACAACCCTCCGACCCCCACTATCCCCCCTCAACATTGCCATGACAGTCCACACCAATCATCCACATGCTGTGCCATATTCCATCATTCACATTGCTGTGAGCATGCTGATCATTTAACTTGACATGACATCCTGATCATTCACTCTGCCATGACCATTCCATCCATTCACAACCCCATTGACACATCCGGATCATTTTGCCTACGTAACGGTATCACTTCTTGTTCTCACAGCGCTCAGAGAGGTTTAGCGACCAACAAACCCGAAGAGGAAGCGTTGACAAGCGGTCGACCGGTCGATGACTGGTGGAGACTGCCGCACAGGCGAATGAGCTAGAAAGCCCACCCCGATCCGTCGTCAGACGCTAGCGCGTGGGATTGATGGCTGCCCTCCCAGCATCCTTATCCGTCAGGCCGGGTCTGTGCGCTGGGCACGATGGTTTGTCTTCCAGAATGCCGCGCCATCCACTGGAGGCTCGTCGGGTCGATGACCGCACCCTCCCTGCAGGCGCATGAGCTGATGTATGGGCGAGTAACGATCCAGCCGCTCGGACGGTATGTTGACGTTCGTTGTGTATTGTTGTCGACCGTGCTGACGTTAAGGTTTGTTTTGTGTGTCTGTGTGTGCACTGAAGCACCGCACGGGATGAAGGCGGGTGAAGGATGATGGTAACTAACAGTCGCTCGGTTCTACCCCCTCCCTGTATAATGCAGTTGTTTCATTCATCGTGCTCCGTGTTTCACTTTTGCAGATGAAAAAATCAAACGTCAAAAATTCCAGGAGAAGAGGAATGAACCGCTGAACGGGGGAGGAAAGAAGGAAAGGGTACAGGAGAGGAGCTGTCGCGGAGTTTCAGCGCAGGAGGAGAAAGAGGAGGTAAAGCCATTGGAGTAAGAGGAGAGACAAGGTTATAAAAGACGGGTACAGGTATGAGAGGACGTCCACAGATTGAGAGGGTAAGGGGAGGGGTCGCAACTCAGAAGGAGGAGGAGCAGCGCATCAGAGGAAGATCCAACATTCGTTAGAGAGTGATAACTAGCAGAGAGGGGGCAAGCATTCAAGAGGATGAGGTACAAGGCATCAGAGACGATGGTACAGCAATCAAGAGGACGAGGTAAAGGCCATCAAGAGGAGGAGACCACAGCAGTTAGAGGAGGTGTGAGAGAGGAGGAAGCATCAAAGGACGAGGTGGCAGCCACTCAGAGAGACCACAGAGCAATGGGTGAGAGGAGGAGAGAAGGGGTTAAGAGATAGAAGTCGAGAGAGAAGGAAGCGGTGGGGGCGTGCCCTGTCGAGCCACCCCCCCCCGCAGCTAGGCGAGAGAGTGTAGGCACGGGCCAAACATTTAGTGAGAAACCTCGCTGATCGCAGTCTATCAAACTGTTCCCAGCGCGCTCCGCAGCCGCCGCTCCACCCCGCATCAACACGAGTACCCGACGCAACCCGATGCAACAGGAAAGATGGAACGGGGGATACCCCATTTTCAGAAATTAATTACGCAGAAATGCCAGGATGAGACGGATAATGGAAATGAAAAGACAGGATATGGCATGATACGGATGATGGGACTGTAGACAGTAGAGGAAATGGAGAACAGGATGAGGGGATGAGACGGATGAGGGGATAGACAGGATGAGGGGATGAGACGGGATGATTCTACGAGACAGGATGAGGGGATGAGAGGGGATGATTTCATGAGACAGGATGAGGGGATGAGACAGGATGAGGGGATGAGAGGGGATGATTTCATGAGACAGGATGAGGGGATGAGACAGGATGATGGGATGAGACAAGGTGGCGATGGCACGAGAGAGGCGCACACAGACCGAGCGAGGTCTGGGTTCGTGCAGACGCGTCACCACGACAGCGCCTCCGATCGCCATGGATACACAAATGACTCACCCGACAGATCACAGAAGGAGCAGCAGCACTGTGACAGGGGGCAGTCGGCTGACCGCGGCGACCGTCGCCACGGCGACCGCCGCCGTGGGCGGCACGACGTCGACGGGAGAGACGGCAGGGAGGGGCGGGACGCACGCAACCGACCCGGCAGGAGGGACGGGAGTCAGGGAGACCCGGAGTCATCCCGTCACCGGAAGCAGCACGGTGGCGGAAGCCGGCAGTCTCACAGCCGGGATAAACGCTCGCTATCGTTGTCATCCGAGGAGGACAGGAGCAACCGAAAGATGGGCAGCAGGGTGAGGGATCGATCCCTGAGGAACCGCAGTAGGGAGGCAGGAGGTCGCGAGAGGTCGAGGGCGGCGGGCGACGCCGGGAAGAACTCGCCGCCACGTCACACGTCGCGATCCGGGAGTGGCGTGAGTCGCGGCAGTGGCAGCGCACACCCGCCAGGTGGCGCCGATGCCACGGCGCGTGACGTGCGTGACGTGATGGACCTCGCCGCGCAGATCCGGGTCGCCATGGCGGCGGGTGATGAGGCAGCGTTCGCTAGGCTGAAGAAGAAGCTGAACGCGATCACGGGCAAGGCTCGAATGGCGCCCTGGGCGCAGAGCGTCGATGCCAGGGCTACTGGTGCTGCCCCCGCTCCAGCCGTCGTCAACCCGCTGCAGATAGCTGGTGGTGGCGGCGGCGGATCATACTCTGACACAGGGTGGTGCGGCTACGGGATGCAGGAACAGCAGCAGGGATATGGGATGCAGGATGGGATGCAGGAACAGCAGCAGCGATACGGGATGCAGGAACAGCAGCAGCGATACGGGATACAGGATGGGATGCAGGGATACGGGATGCAGGAACAGCAGCAGGGACACGGGATGCAGGAACAGCAGCAGCGATACGGAATGAAGGAACAGCAGCAGCGATACGGAATGAAGGAACAGCAGCAGGGATACGGGATGCAGGAACAGCAGCAGGGATACGGAATGAAGGAACAGCAGCAGGGATACGGGATGCAGGAACAGCAGCAGGGATACGGGATGCAGGAACAGCAGCAG